TTTTTTAATTTACTACTCGCCTTTCTACACTTATTGTTCGCTTTTGGACAATATAATATTTTATAATACTTACAATAAATAAACAAGTACTTGTCGCCTTATAAAAGGCTTTTTAGTGCTTACAATTTAATGTGTAGTGTGTAAAATATCAACGAAATGTCTACCGTTACTCTGGCATTCCATACAAATCTCCGAAGCCTATAAAGAATGGTAGGAACGAATATGATATGATTTTTTTTCGTATAGAATTTAAAATAACGTTATATCTTAGTTAATTCCAGTTCGGCATGAATTCCTAATATTAATAATAATAAAACATTTTTAGCGTTACGGTTATTTCAGCATTAAATAAATATACAACGCTTAGCATACGACTATATTAGTCATCGCTGTAAGTTCTTAGCTTATAAATATGAATGAGTATAAATAAAATAGGACAAAGATGTAATTTTAATTAAGATTTGATTAATAAAGTTTTAGAAACCTGGGATTGCAATAAGGAATAATAAAGTAGTGTTCCTTCACAGTTTTACATATTGCATTTAAAATAAAGAAAATACCAAAGTGAAAAATTTTGTGACTCTGTTGCTATTACTTCTTTTAAATAAAACGTCAAATATTTTTAAACATTCATTACACTTACGGTAATATTTTCTTAACTTCATCTTTTGCATCAGCTTCTAATGCTTTAAAACCAGGAAGTTGCTCACCACTAGCAAACCAACCTAAGTCCGCACGTAACGAAGCAAAACATTCTAAATGATGCCACAGTGCTTGACCACCATATTTCATTCCAACTTCCGTATCATAAACAGTTTTTTTAACCCTTATCTGGCCTTTCGTTATTTTTTGCTCACAACCACGACACATAGCTCTGCCAGACTTAGCGTGTTCTACACCAAAATCTTTCAAAACTTCTACTTCTCCATTTGAACGTTTTTTACCACCTTTTTTTGTAGAACCTTTTGCTTCGACGACGGACACTGACTCCTCTATAAAATATGTTTTTTAGAAATTATTTGCATTTACTTTTTGTAGTTCATACCAATTCGTTTACGTATAAGCTCTTGATCTTCAAATCGTAGATTTTCAAAATTTTCTATATCACCCACTGATTGCGGCCTTTGTTTTTTAAAAAAACAGCTCGCGTGAAACCAGTTTGGAGATTTCCCATCATGGAAAGCCGACTGTTAAATAACTGTTAGGATACAATTTATACCAATGAATAAATTTCTTACCTGGATCATTGCAGCAATCCTAAGTGATCCTTGACTTATATTACCTTTACATCCTTTGCAACTTGCTCTACCAGATTTGGCGTACTCTGTTTTAAAAGGAAGCTCCACCTCCATTGCTAATAAAAATTAAGAACAATTTGATAAGCTTGTGAAATAACTGCGCACACTATGACGCCTGTTATGGTAAGATAAAAAAACCGGCAATATTTAAAATATAATTAAACACCTACTACACTTTCAAACATTTTGATGAATCTACACCTCGTTTATGTAAATATTCATGCGAGAATGTTCGCACTGAATTTTTGTCACTTTTTTCGAATTTGGTGTTTATAAAACATCAAAAAAATCTATCTTACGTATTTACCACACGATAATGTTCATATATTAAAATTAGTGTGACAATAAATATATAAGTTAATGAACATTTATTTTAATTATTCTTGTATATTCTTGGTTGTATAACACCGTGCAAATATAATAATTTTCTTGTTTTCTTCGATAAAGAATTTAAAATTTTTTATATAAATCAAACATAAATAAAGAATACTTACTTAGTTGGCCATTACAGACGTGAGTCATTCTTGGTCACGTCGAATAGCCTTAACCAGCCAGCACGATTGCTGTCGCCAGCACGATTGCTGTGGTACATAAATAAAGAAAGGATAACTGAAATCAGAAGTGTGTGAATTATTATTGATATACTATATATATATATATATATATATATATATATATTATTGATATCTATACTATAATATACATATATAGTATATATATATATATATATATATATCAGAGGCGAGGCGTCGAATGGTTCAGAGTGTTCACTGAACACCTTAACAAAGCTTCCTTATTAGATCTTTTTTTTTATTAGGTAAATAATCTCACTATTTTGCTATTTAACATTTTTTATAATAGCTTTTCCAAACATATTAACATAAACGCAAAATGTACAATACAAACAAAATCACATATACATATGTTAGTTACATCCAACATTACTTATAATTAATAAAACAGAAAACAAATTCCTCTTAAAATATACTAAGGTTCAGAATGAAAACTGCACCGCGCTCCTTACAAAGCATGCAAATGAAATAACATTCACATTAGGATTATGTTCAATATTAAATAAATACAAAACATACAAACAAATATAAAAATAAAAGAGAAAACAAGCCCCGCAAAATAAGTACGTAAAATAATCATAACTCTTAAATTAATGCGTGCAAGCGGTTCAATAAAAAAAGTGAACTTCCAATGTTATGCAAAGTAAATACAAAAGCGAAAAGAAATGACTGAGCTAAATCGCTTTACACTTGACGAGAGGTTCACTCGACCAATTTGAACCCCAAGTTCATACAAAGCGTGCAAATACAATCAAAGTCACGGTTGCCGTTTTATATGGGCAAATGGTTCAATAAAAAAATTGAACCGCCCATAGTAAATACAAAGTAAAAGAGTAAATGAATGCATGAGAGTTTCTTACTCTTATGTAGAGGTGGAAAATAAACCAAAAACAAAGTCATTCTTGGAATTTTATACTAGCAAATGATAAAAGAAAAGAAAAAAATTAAAGAAATTTAAAGTGAAAAATAATATTTAGAAATGGATAAATCTGTGATTAAAGATTTGATTCAAATATCTTTTTTTAAACGATCTTCTGGAAGAAAGATTTTAATTCATAAAATGAATAGACCAACTCCAGATATGAAGAATTTGGTACCTGATGTAAAAATGTCGAAATCTGTGGTGTCTTCCTACAGCTATTTACCATAAAAACCAGTGGATCACAGGCTGCGAATATTTTTTTTTTTTTTTTTTTGAAATCCATTTATTTATTACAATCTGTCAGGAATGAATGACAATAAGTAATATATATAAATTTAAATCGTAATAATGGTTATTACGATATAAAAAGAAAGGCACGTATGGACTATGCCCAGTGACATATCCATATATATTTAAAATAAAAGTGTATTGTCTACATATACATATTTAAAATGTCTCGCGATGTTTTTCTTCTCAGCCTTGTAAAGGTATTGGAAGCGGACATCAGTTGAGTAACCAGAGGGTTAGGGTGCATATATAAGCGTTGAGCGTAATTCTTTAAAATACTTGCTATTTCTTCCTTGATTGTTCGAACATGTAATTGTTTATGTAGCTGTTCATTCGTTATATACCAAGGTGCGTTTGTGATCATTCGTAGTGTTTTAGATTGGAAGCGCTGTATAATTGCCAGGTTTGAGTCTGCTGTAGTACCCCATAATTGGGCCCCATAACTCCATATAGGTTTAAGTACAGATTTGTATATAAGCAGCTTATTGTCGAGTGACAGTTTGGAATTTCGGCTGAGGAACCAAAATAAGTTTCGTAATTTAAGACCCAAGGCTTTACGCTTTTTAAATATGTGCGATTTCCAGGTTAGCTTACTATCCAGATGTATGCCCAAGTATTTTGTTTCTACAGCTTGTGGTAATTGAGTATTGTTTATTAAGACCGGCGGGCACGTAGAACGTTTTGTAGTGAATGTTACCTGGACAGATTTTGATTCATTCGGTTTAATACGCCAGTTTATCATCCAGAGAGCAACATTATCAAGGCAGGTTTGAAGTTTGGTGGAAGCACGGATTGGGTCACTGTCAACTGATAAAATAGCTGTGTCGTCTGCAAATGTACCGATAACACTCTCATCGGTAAGGGGAAGATCCGCAGTAAATAAAAGATAAAGCATTGGTCCCATTATGCTACCTTGAGGTACTCCTGCTTCTATATCATGAAGTACTGTAGTTTCGTTTCCATGCTTAACGAAAAAGTGCCTAGCCGAGAGGTATGATTTTATAAATATGAAAAAATTTAGAGGTAGATACAGTTTTAGTTTGAACAGGAGGCCCTCATGCCATACTCGATCAAACGCTTGTGAAATATCTATAAATGCCGCAGTGCAATATTTTTTACCATCTATCGCACTATGGATATGTCTGACAAGTCTGTGAATTTGTTCTATTGTGCTATGTTTTTGGCGAAAGCCGAATTGATGGTCAGGTATGAGTCTGTTTTGTTGGATAAACGGAGTAAGGCGCTTTAGAAACAGGATTTCCATAACTTTTGACAGGATCGGAAGTAGACTTATTGGCCGATATGATTTGACGTCTTCTGGGCTTTTCCCTGGTTTCGGTATCATGGAGATTTGTGCTATCTTCCACTGTGGCGGAATAAACCCCCTTATTATCACAGCGTTAAATAGATGAGTGAGAAATACAAATCCTTTTGGTGGGAGCTGCTGCAAGGCCATGCCTGTGATTAAATCGTATCCTGGAGCTTTTTTTACTTTTAACTTTGTTATTACATCTCTAACTTCATTAATAGTATATCTTTTAATTGGAAGTTCCAATTGATAAGGCTCTTGTAGAAAATTAATCCTTTGATTCATGACATCAGGCATATTTTGGTTATCATTTGATTTAAAGACCTGGTCCAAATGTAACGCAAATGTTTCTGCTTTTTCAATATCGCTTTTTGCCCATGAGTTGTCGATTTTGCGTATAGGTGGTTGATAGACAATCGGTCTGTTGTTCTTTTTTATGGCTTTCCAAAGGGAATATTTTGTATCACATGAAGCACTTAGGTTTTGAAGGTATAGCGACGTGCGATTATTGTTATACTTTAAAAGAAGGGCTTTAACGAGTTTACACAGTTTGTTTAAGCGAGTTTTATCCGCAGGGAATCTCGACTGTTGCCAATGTTTTCTCATCCTACGCTTTTCTTTAATCAGGTATCTAATGTTAAATGGATAATCTTGCTTAACACTTTTAGAAATTGGTGGAGTTGATTCCCATGCAGACATTTGGACACAAGAGTTGAAATGCTCTACTGCTTCAGTTACGTCAGATTCAGTTTTTAACCTGACTTCGGTATTTAGACCAATTGAAATTAGTTGACGGTAACTATTCCAGTCAGTGTTTTTATTATGAAGAATACATTTTTCCATAATTTCACAGCAGTCATTGAGAGTGATTATTATTGGCGAGTGGTCAGATGACAAGTCGAAATTGGACTTACAGGTAGTTGTTTCAATACGTACCCCCTTTGATACCGCAAAATCAATTAAGTCAGGTATTTTTCTTCTATCTGTTGGCCAATATGTGGGTTCACCTGTTGAGATTGTGTGGAGGTTGAGTACATTTATTGCTTCGAAGAGTTGACGTCCTTTTGGAGATATTAGGCGGGAACCCCATTTTAAGTGTTTAGCATTAAAATCTCCGCCTACTAGGAACCTAGATCCAAGCAGCTGAAAAAAATGATATGTACATATCTTTCGTGATACTGTGGCGCGGTGGGCTGTAGAGTGATGAGAAAGTCATGTCGCCTTCTTTAGTTTGTACTACAATGTTTGTTGCCTGGATTTCATTCTTGCAATATGGTTTTGCTTCATAATGTTTTATCGAGTTCCTTATGAGAACCGCAGAGCCACCATTTCCTTTACCACTGGGATGCATTGTGTGATAAAGTTCGTAGTTCGGAATTTTAAAGAAACTACGCGTCGTGAAATGGGTTTCTGATACTAGCATTATGTCGACCTGGTTTAATTTTAAAAATGCTTTTATTTCGATAGCATGTTTTGATAGACCATTAGCGTTCCATATGACTACTACTAAATCAAGAATTTTGTTTAGTCGTCAAGTTGATCAGTAAATTTGTCATTACTACGATTTGTTGCATCATTTGCTTCAACAGTGATGTCATCTCACGGAATTCTTCCACAAAATTATTTGGAATTGGTGAAAGCTTCTCCTCTGTTTCGCTACTGGTGTTTGACTTCACTATTTGTGCGAATGTTTCAGGTGAATGAGAAGTCGTGATGTGTTTTTTGTTTAGCGAAGGAAGAGGATTTTCTTGAATTTGTACTTCCGGCGCCCTAGGTCTTAGTTGGGGATACATTTTTTTTGCAGGTTTTTGTATATTTGACATCCTTTGTAGTTGGCCGGATGATTTCCTTCACATAGAACACATTTGACATCATTGGATCTGCTTTTCCTTTCGCAATTTACAGAAGCATGATTTCCAGCGCACTTGACGCATTTAGGTTTGCGGTGACAGTATCCTTTTGTGTGCCCATACTGTTGGCAGTTTGCACATTGAGGGATTTCCCGTTTCGGGTGAGGTGGTTCAAATGTAACTGTAGTATACAAGAGTTTCTTAACCAAATAAATATCCTTATTATTTAGGTTTGGTGCAAGTTCAATAATAAACATGGGGAGAGGTTCACCTGACCCTCTACGTTTAATGTTCCAAACGTTT